CGCGGAGAGACGTCGCGCCTGGTTCTGGCTGTGCAAGGAGGGCTCCCTCTGTCCCACCCAGCTCTGCCCGCAGCCTAAAACCAGTCAAAGCATTGAATTTTCTCTCTCTGACTGATACTGGAAGCTGGAGTAGGAACTGTGATGTTCTTGCCCTGGGCTGAGTGCTTACAGGGGTGAACAGCATGGACAAACCAGTTTGGTCTCCCAGTTCGCTCAAGACTGTGCCCTGGAGAGAAGTCCGACCTTAACAGGGAGAACTGGACCTGGGTGGGAGCTGGGAGCCAAGCTCCTCCAGGCACTGCCTGCCCCGTGCCTGCTTCCAGCTCCCAGCGGAGGGGCTCGTGTGGCCCCAGACAAGCCGAAGCACCAAATCCTCGTAGTAGATGGGTGGAGTGAAGCCGATTTGTGTCCCATCCCCATGGGCAGGGAGACCTAGGAGGCTCCCAGGGGGGCAAAGGGGACCGAGGCATGTCCCTGTGTGCTGCCATCTCCGTCGCCCTGGGGCAGGGCTGCTGCTGCAGGAGATGACCATGGCAGGGCTGCATGAGCTGCGCTTCACCGAGGAGAAGCCGCTGCTGCCGGGCCAGGACGCCGAGCTGGTGAGTCCGGTGACCGCCTTGGCTCCGGGTGGGGTGCCAGGACGCGGGTGCTTACGTGGGAGCTCGGCAGGGTGTGCGTGCTGGCACTGGGTGCACGTCTGTGCACAGCATGTGCGTGCGCAGGTGGGTGCTGGTGTCAATGCACACGCGCGGCTGAGCCTGGGTGCTGGCTCAGCGTGACGGTGTGCATGCGGGAAGGTGTTGCATGTACACGCTAACACACATGTGTGTGTGTGCACGCGTGTGGGCATTGTGGCCCGGCAGCCAGCGCTGCCCTGGGGAGCGGGTGCTTGTGGTGTGAGGGGGGTCGTGAGTCGAGGGGAGCGGGGTGCTACGGGAGCAAGGGGCGGCGGGGGGATGTCTCTGTCCCTAACGGCTCTTCCTCTCCCCAGGAGAACTCGGACGTCTTCCTCTCCGCTGTGGACACAGACTGGAAGGGGTCCCTCCTGGGACAGCAGCCTGCAGCTGGGGAAGGCCGCGGGGTGCTGAGCTGACCCAGGGGTGCTGCTGTCCCCCCCTTCCATGGGGACGCTGTGCCCAGTCGGTGTCTGTGCATGGGGCTGCACGTCCGCAGCGGTCCACGGCAGGGGGGGA